ACTAAGGTAAAGACGTTTTCTGTTGTGCTGCAGCTCCGTCGGAATCCTACCTGTTCTCTTGGCTGCTGTTCGTCCAGACTTGTTTAGCCCGTTGGTGATGATCTTAGTAAGCAGTTTATAGGCTTTTGAGTGCAGGCGGATTAGGCGATAGTTTTTAAGATCTTCCTTCTCGGTTTTCTTGAACAAGACGATTGTTTTTGACAACTTTCAGCGTGATGGTTTCTTTGTGCGTTTCCTGATAACAACTGAACTTGCTCGCTAGAGTCCTCCACCGCGTCTGACTACCTACTCTGGTTATTTTATTTGTCAGACCGTCACCACCTGGGGCTCTTCCTTCTTTCATTTGCTGTGATGCATGCCGAATTTTGTTTATGAGGGCCAGTAGTGCACTTCCTTCTAGCTGTTGGAGTAATGATGACGGGATGCGTTTCTTTGACGTAAAGAGTAAAGAGTAAGAGTTCTTGCAGACAAACCGCATCTCAGTTTTGTCAGACCTTAATGCCCCATTCCCGTTCTTCAACACAGGGATGGTGGACTGATAGCGCTAACCCTCTCCCGTACTGTCTGAGGCTTCTGCGGTCATCAACTGTTTTCTCTAACTTTCGCAATCGGAAAGTTTCGAAGTCTTCCTTTAGGTTCCGTCTACGGAGCTTATATAGAAAAGAGTACTCCACCATGTTCTTCGGTGTTCTCTCTCCACTTCTGTAGCAGACTCTATCTCTTCTGAATCCTTCCTTTCGCTTTCTTTGATGTTATTACCTCAGCTGAGTTTGCACAGCGCCCCATTTTCTCGGCGAATTTCTCGTGATCAACGATGATCATCGCTGCTTCCTTTCAGACTCCAGTCTTTGCTGGAAATGCGAGTTTTGAGCACCGCCTCGTCGAATACCGTCGTTAGTGGTCTACAACTTGTCATCTGCAGTGCCTTCTCGATCTTCTCCTCGAACGTTGGCCTGGTCTGCACAGTTATGTGCTCACTGCAGGTGTTAAATGATGACGCTAGTGTTATGCCTCGGATGATGCGGCATTTACCGAACAGGACACAGTCGATCTGATTTTTCGTCATCCCGTTGGGTGCGATCTATGTTCACTTTATGTTGATCTTCTTCTTGAACCAGGTGCTGTAAATGTACAAGTCTTTCGTTTCTGACATGGTTACCAGTCAATCTCCTCACTCATTTCGTCCTCCGATGCCACATCTGCCGACAAATTTATGGTATGTATAGATTTTGGGACCAGTGCCTGTTCCACTTCTTAATGGAATTCTTCTACTTCCTCCTCGTCAGCCGTTATTGTGGGAGCATAGGTTTGTACGGAATTCAAGGTCCTATTATTGTTCAGTTCGAGGCACAGGACGTTTGTCATGATGAATTAACATTTTAGAAGAAACTTTTTTGGAATCAGCGCTAACTGTAAATTTGATTCGTCCTATGTTTCCGGTTCCCTTCGTAGCCATATCGAAATGCGGTCATTCCAGACGCGATTCATTCGTTTTCGCCGTCTTGTATCGCACAGGCCAAGGATGTTACAGGTTTTTTCTAGTCGGTCATCCAGTAATTGGTTTAACGTTTCATCCCTCACCATTGTTCTACAGTTGTAAATGCAGACAGCGAGGGAAATACTGATGCGTTAACCATATGATGGTCTTTCACTTGCGATTCTTAGCTGCCTCTTGTCAGTCGAATGCCGAACCAGTGCCGTGGAAAGAGATTGCGATGCATTCAGGGCACTGGGACCCATTTATTCGTGTTATCATAGCGCATTAAGTTTCGCTACCCACTGGCAGAGCTGGCGATGGCCTTTGGAATTTTGTACAGACGAGTATCCCATTTCCGTCCGGTTTTTATCGAAATTTTCTCTTCTAGCCTTTGACGAACGCTCTTCTGACAGCTGTGCCATTTGCGGTTTTTCTTGAAACAGGCGGGTCGCTTTCACCTTCACACGAGACTGTCATTGAACTATGCGTTTTTCTCCGTGGATGGAACTTGTCCAGCTCGAACCCTACCACTCCGTGATTATCTTTCCGCTATCTGTCCCAGGCTACGTATTTGTCTCAGCTAACCTCCAAATCTGCATATCGTTCCCCTGTGCGCAAGCCGGGACGCGCCAGATGGCTCGCAGCTAGGTTTGTCGGTTGATTGATA